AAGAAATAACAAAAAATAATTCTTACAGTTGTCAATAATTTTACGTACTTTCAAAAAGTACCTATGACGTTATTATTTAAAATTCGAGGTTTTAATTTATACATATATATATTGCTTACCGGGCGTACAACTAATCTTCTCAGTTTGCGTTCTTATTCCAAATGAATATTTCGGTGAATTATCCAAAATAACTTTTCCAGCTTTTTCCGGATTGTAATCACCCGGTGCCGGAGTTATTTCAAATTTCGATGATTTGGTACGACCATGCAACGACGAAGCAGGTGCACCATCTTTACCTACAAATCCGAATATGCATATATATGTAATTGATAATCGACGAATTTTCGTGAAAGTTCGTTTCCCTAAGATAAAGGGAGTACCATTGTTACGGAATGTTACTACTCCGTAGTTTGATCGATAAACTAACCGAGACATTCCGTGTGTCTTTTTGCTCGTATAAAGCATTGATTTCGTGAACTACTTATTTGGATATATAATTCCTTTTCATCCTGCATATTGAATTTTTTCTTATAATATTTATTAACGATACATCATACCTTTTGCACTAAGACCGGATACGTTGTATTGGCCGGGTCCTGGACCAGGGCTATCATTTCTAGCTACGTGTCTGAATAATTTATATAAAATTCAATCAAATCGTTGTATTTTATATTTTATAAAAATTATAAATATAGAAACACAAATTAATACCTGCTTCCGAAAGAAAATGCCGGTGCTCTTCCTCGTTTTGAATCCGGTACGGTTTTTCCTAAATAACAAGAACAAAACTACTATTAATAATTAGTTCTAATTTTCAAAATAATCGGTCTATTATATTGGAGACGTGAAAATTTCCCATATCGAGTTATCAACAATACAATCGTTAATAAACCTTTCCTTCCGTTATACTAAAATACAACGTTCTACTTTCTATACCGTTATATAGAAGATCGGCATAGATTTTCTATGCCACACATAAGGAGAAACGAATAAGAACAAATGATTCATAATATGTTAACGAGAAGCTCTCGTTATTTATATACTCGTTTTCTTTTTTTTTTTTTTTTAAATAAAAAACTAGAAGATCTTTTCTTTTAATCAAACATACCGATAAGTGGTGGTAAAGTAACACAAGCAGGTCCAGGACTATTGTATTCAGCAGCAATGGGGCCTCTTCTTTTCGTAGGTGTCCATGGCCTTTGCGTTAATCCTCCCATATTGTCCAAAACTTGCTTAAAAAATTTATTTACAAAAATATATATACACATATATATAAAATATTAAATTATGATCTTTCTCTTTTTCGAGCAAATATAAAATGATAACTTTGACGACAAAATGTTGAAGTAATACCACCCTGTTATGTGTTTCTCTACGTTAATTATGGTGATAATAGTAAATAAATGGTAAATTAATATAATTCAAGTGTATTTAAAATAAACGTTTCTTTCTCTCTCTCTTACAATTGTAATACTTATAGAACAAACAACGAGATGTTCATTAAATGTGATCGGGAATTGCGTAATAGTGACGACCTCGAAACTCTGGTCACAGAAACGACTCATGACAATCCATATAAGAACATGCCCATGGAGGGTATTCACAATCGCCCACCTCATATGTTCTTGCTAAAGACCCATATCACGAATTGCAAGGTATCGGAGATTGTCCAAATAAATGCAGGCCAACAATAATGACTCATACTGAACTTATAAGGATATATTGTCATCAATGAAAAGGATAACATCTTACAATTAGATGGGTAATGCGAATAGCGTTAACAATATCTATTTTACAATCGAATTGTTTTATTCATTATTTTAATTTCATTATTATTATTATTTATTCATTCACGGTAACTTTGTTTCATCCGGAATTACCGTGGTTGAACATATTGAAATACAAACACAATAATATCTATCTCTTTCCTTTGTATTTTTATGGTAATTTATTTGAAGGATACGGTACGATGGATCTTTACGTTGTTAGTAGTGCATGTTAATACGAATAATCAAAGTGACAAAGTGTTCGAATACATTATTGATATATCGTTTTAACGGATCTAGAGAGAGAGAGAGAGAAAGAGAGTGTATGTTAATATTTCTTTTAATTAGAAATTTATATATATATAGTAAATGCACGTAAGTAAATAAGATTATCACACATACACATACACACATTTGCATATAAGTAATTAATTTATTATATCAGAGTACTCTCTCGTTATAATATTAAATCGGATTTGAGAAGAACGGTCAAGAAAGATTTTCATAGAATCTTCGATTAGTCATTAATCCTTGTATAGCCATATGTCAAATATATAAAAATAAAAATATGCATGAGTATATACATGTATATGTATAAATGTTGAATCTCATTATCCGAATATAGAAATGAAAGCACAGATGTAAAATATCGACGTTTTTATGGACCCAACATGACCAAAACGAGTATGAAATATTTAACAGGAAGTAATATAAATATTCTTTCATGAAGAAATCAATGACATCTATTTTACATACAATATATTTTCTCGTATTTTATTTTAATATCGTCATATATTACATATTCCGCATGATCGTAGATTTGTTTTCTTGAATATTCGTCGCGATTAGATTTCAAATATAATCATTTAATTCGTTAAATATCAAAAACGACATCGATAAATTATCTTAATGACATAATCTTTAATCATGCTACATGTACGAGAATACACACACACACATTGTTAAATGCGCATCGTTCTTTAACCACCGATGGCATAATACTATATAAAGAGTCAGCGTTTCAAAATATCTCTGACGATAACAGAACACTTTTATGTTATATTATTCCAACCTTTTTCTACAATTATAAAAATAATGATAAAACAACGATCAAATAAATATTTCTTTTAATTGATTTATTTCGCGATTAAAACAACGAAAAGACTTTACATTTTGAATTGTAAGTTTAAATCATATAAAAGTTTATTATAAATCCCCTAATTATAATATTATAGATCATTAAAAAGCAATGAAAATGCTTCTGATAATGATTCGTAATCTGGTAATAATAATAAAAAAAGAAAAACAAAAATGATATTTAAATCACGTATAAGTTTTTCACACACAATTCAAATAATAAACAAGAATCTTTTTTCGATAAATATAATTAACTTTGATTTTCCTCAAAATTATCAAATCCATTAAGCGATATTTAATACGTTGTTAAACATATTTATAAAAATATATTTATATGATATAGATATAAAAAAAATAAATAAAAATGCTTACCAAGGATTTAAAAAATGGCACGATGAAAAGGAGGCAACAAAAATTATGTTATTCGGATGTATACTTTGAAGGTCAATTATATATTCGTTGACGAATTAGATCGTTTGTTGAACGAAGAAAAAAAGAAATGATGAAAATGTGCACCGGTCTCTTAACGAGGATAATCACCACCACTCCTGAGATGCGTCAAGCTACGACTGAAGCGCAAAAGTCCTTCTTAACACGTGTAAACGTATCTCACGACATTGCTTCTTTCGTTTCCCTGAATGTTTCCCCTACTCTAAAGTAAGATGATTACAACTTCTTAACGCAGGCGCCCTTCCCGATCTCACATTCTCTTTCTATCTTTCTTTTTTAACCTTCTATTTCTTTTTTTAATATTTCTAATCTTTTAATATCTTCTAATCTATATTGCTAAATAAATATAAATATTACCCGCGAAGAGAGTAATATCATGATTTCTTATTTATAACATATAATTCAGTTATGATAAATGATTTACCGTACAATTGATTAATAATTATTATTATTATTATTATTTATTTGTGTGTTATATAGATAATTTCAAATTATTCTTTAACGATTTTGTAATTATTTATTCAGATACGATCTTCGTGTTATCGATTAAAATAGGAACAAATTTTCAAAGTTATCAATTACGTTGTTGATCTAAATACTTCGGAAATAATTATTATCGAAGATAATCAATTTTATTAATATTTTTTTATATACGCGTCCTAACAAATGGAGAATTTTCTGTCTGATACTTCGTCATTGAATGGCGTGAGTCCCTAATTTTAACTTTTTGTCCTTAGCACAGGATAAAGCAAGGCCAAAAATGTCGAGGATAAAAATCAGAAGTATTGGGGTGCGTAGGTTGCGAAACGAAGTAACATACATCCAATAAAGGAGCCAACGAGACATTTGAATATGTCTTACGGTAAAGTAATCTGTTAAACATGACATATATAAAATATAATACGATAACTGATTATTTATTTCTTTTTTTTTTTCATAATCAATACCATAAAAGATTTATTTATAATTACGACGATCCTCGTAGAAGAGAGAAACGTCCTTGTTGAAAGATCAAGTTTAAAAAATGCGATCAATATTTATATAACTTGATCGTGATTCATCGGCTTAAATGATTTTTAATTATAAAAATCGTAGCCGTAGGTGTACATTATTCATCACAATCGAATTTAAACGTCTGGAATATTATCTTTTTAATCTTTAGAGATTGACTTTTCTTATTCAGTGATGTTAATGCAAGGTAAATTACAAATGATCATTGAAATAATAATCCAACAATTACACTAATATCTGCTATACATGTACTGAATATGTATTGAAACAATAACTTCGTAAAAATCGAACGAATCATTAAACGTAAAGTTTAAACGTAAACATTTGAAAGTTAATCATCAATATTCAATTACTGTAATAAAATACCTGTTGCATACATGCGTTCATGGTAATGTTAAAAGAACTGCTGTTCGACCAATATCTGACACTTAAGTATGGTGTGTGTGTGTATTTCCCCTCTCTTTTTACGCTGACATCACGATAGATGAGAACCGGTCAGTAATATTTGTATCGTGATGCCAGTATACTCGAGGTAGTACTAACTACACGAAGAATTTATACATCTTCATTCACGGTATGAATTTTATACGCATATAGATATAATATTTACTGTAAATGGACGAATTTATTAACAATTTGCAGTTGTACGTACATACACCAATTCGTATTGTGTTATCATTACAAGACGTATATTCTTTATGTTACATAGAAATACAATTCAAAGTGTTTTCTTTTTTATATATATTTATTTTTCTACAAAATCGAAAATTAAATTCGAAAATGAATCGGAGTGTTGGTGCGATGGTAATTAAATTATTCTACCAATAATTTTGTTTATATAAAAAGATTTGTTTTATTATAATATGAAATAATAAAACGATAATAATAATAATAATACAAAAGAATACTTTAGTGACAATTTATTTAAAATATACATTGTTTATTTTTTAACTAATACATTGACGATTACGTTTGAAATCTAAATTAACGCCAACGACAGGAAATGCTCATCCGGATAATATGATCATCATTTTTGTAAATTCACGATGAATTTTATTATTGGAAATTATATTTTTCAAGATAAATTTTTTGAAAATAGTTTTTTTAAATGTCTACAAAACAAATATAAGAGTTTGTTATTGCGATGATAAACTTACTCTCTTATACATTCGTCTGAAAATAAATTTGCTCAATGCTTCAATTGTGTTGAGATGACATCATTGTCAGGGCCGTACTACGATATCACCCACGCTTAATATAAACATTACAATACGTGAAAATAATAATTATTTAAATAATTATTTTGCATTTATATTTACAGAAAGTGTTTTCGAATTTACTATCCTAAAGCTGAAATGGATCCGGAAGAAGAGGCATTACAGATGCATTTATTACGTGAACACGATCAACCTGTTGCTGGGATACAAATTTTGTACAAAGTTTTAATGGAGAGTTTACGAGCAAACGATTTAAGAGCGTTTAAAAATCTTCTTGGACAAAATTCAAAGGGACAACAATCAATCGTTAACGTTAATTATATTTATCCAAATCGTTCGGAAGAAACTTTATTAGACGTTGCATGTAAAAATGGGCGCACCGAGTTCGTTAAATTATTATTAGAAAATGGTGCAAATCCAAATAGAGTCAACGAGGCTCACAATCGTGCACCTATTCATTTTGCCGTTGAAGGCGGACACGTAACAACGTTAAAAGTATTACTGAACAACCGTATGATCAATCCAAACATAGAAGCTGCTCAACAAACGGCACTTCATATAGCTATTAAAAAAAATCATTTAGAATGCGTCGAATTACTTCTCGAGAATGGTGGTAGTCCAAACATACCTAACAATAAAGGTCTTACAGCACTTCACTTGGCTGCTATGAAAGGTCAAAGAGATATAGTCAATGCGATACAACAAAAGAGCAAACAATCTCTTGATTTGGATACTTATAAGGATTACAATGGTCAAACGACTCGTCAGGTTTTGGAGAAAAAATTACCTGACATGATATTGCCGCCACCAAGAATTGGAGACCTTTCTGTTCACAATCTTCGATATTTTCTCAATGCAAACGACGAAATCAATTTCTTAAGATGTTTAGAAAAATTTGATTACAATGTTTTAATTAATGATATTGATGAGTTATTAGAAATGGCAACCGAACGTAATTTTTATAAAATTGTTAAAGAATTACTTGACAGAATGCAAGGACATACATGTGACCTATCGAAAACAGCTATTATAGCCATACAGCAAGCCAATTTCGATATTTTACGTGAATTATTAAAACACAATAGCGAACTTGCCAACGAACTTATTATCGATGCTTGCTTAGAACTTGGAATGCCTGAAAAACAACGATCGGTCGTGACTGATCGGCTGAAATGTTTGAAATTGATTCTTGATCAAGATAATGTTGATGTCCGTTGTACGGACAGTAAGTATATTATTGAAATAACATAAATGTTTTTGAAAAGATGATGATAATAATATTGATATAATATAATAAATATATTTTTATTATTTAGACAAAGGGAATACACCGTTGCATTATGCAGCGAGGGCAGGTTCTCGCGAAGCAGTGAGTTTGTTATTAGAAAAGGGAAGTTACATAGGACATATGAATAAATTCAACGTACCACCGATTGCTGACATTCCGTTAAACTCTTTGGCCGAATATTTCGACGATTGCCTTCAAACAAGAAAAGAACGTACGAACGAGTACACGATTGAGTTTAATTATCGATGTTTAATGCCACACGATACACGATACTCTTATACGCGAGACTGCAATAAGAAAAATTCTTATAATTCAACAAAATATTGTGAGATGGATACTCTTCGATATATGTCTGAAAATAGCGCGTTAAAACATCTTCTAAAACATCCACTTTTATCTTCATTTTTACATCTCAAATGGTATAGGATACGTCACCTCTTCTATCTTAATTTTGCTTTTTATGTAATATTTTACATATTACTCAATACATATATTTTAAGCATGACTTATAGTATAAAATTTAATGAGACGGATGCAATAGTAAACGAAACCAATGACAAAGAGTTGAAATATGTTGTGCATACCGGATGGCAAAGAAATAATCTGCTATGGGTCATGACAGCCGTAGCATTATTTTTTCTTGCCATTCGAGAAATCATACAATTAGTTTCTTCACCTTGTCACTATATATCTAGTTTAGAAAATTGGTTAGAAATGACACTGATCATTTTAGGCTCGTGTTTATTAAACGGCGCTGGTCCGGAAGTCGGTGCAGTGGCTATATTAGTATCAGCGTGGGAAGTTGTTATTTTAATTGGACAATACCCAAGAATGTCCACAGGTATCGAGATGTTTAAGACAGTATCATGGAACTTTATGCGTTTCTTATTTTTATATGCTTTTCTTATCTTAGCCTTTGCACTTGCGTTCTTTACTCTCTTCAAGGACGGTGGCGATGAGAACTTTCCCGATCCAGGCCACTCCCTCTTCAAAACTATAATTATGCTTACCGGAGAGTTCGATGCCAACGATATACCGTTCATATCGCATCCAATACTCAGTCGTTTCGTTTTCGTATTATTTGTATTTTTAATCGCAATCGTATTGTTTAATCTGCTAAATGGTTTAGCTGTCAGCGATACCGCTGAAATTCTTGGAAAGGCTGAACTTATTGGTTTGATTTCCAGAATACGTCTCATATCTTACATTGAAAATGTTGCTACAGGCCCATCTTTTCTACATAAATTACGATGTTTATCTGGCATAAATTCGTATGCGTGTAATCCGTTAGGTTTCCTAGTCAAAAGAATTCTTTTGTTTCCTAATTATTTAAAGGATGGAAAACTTGTTGTTAAACCTCATGATAATTTTGACGTATGTTGTCCCGCTAGTTGTTATGGAAAATGTTTATCATCTAATATTTCTAATACGGATTCACCAACGTTAAGGATAGATTCGTACGTCGTTAAAAAAGCTAAAGAAATATTGTTGCGTAAAAGGCAGACATCGGAAAATGAAAAAATATTTACCATGTTACAACAAATGGCAGAAAAATTGGCTACGATTAATACAACGTTAAATACGGTTAAATGTGCAATGGAAAATAATAATCTTAATATAGAAATAAAAGATCCAGTTCAAGAGTAAATATAACATGAAAACTTAAATATTGTTGAAACGAACGAAAATTGTTACAGAGTAAAATTCTAATTGTTTAAAGTATTCTTAGAAATGTGTCATTTAAATATTGATGACACCACCGTTGTCTAATATATATTAAATTCTATTCTATAAATTAAAAATAGAAAAAATGTTTTTTTATTAGATATATATACAGTACGATTTGTTCATCATACAAATATTGTATTAGAAAAGTATTGTTTTTTAGCATTTTCATTTTTTATAAAATATTAATTATTTTTATAAAATAATATTGAATACCTTTTCAAACAATTTTTGTGAAAATAACGATCAACCTATCCAGAAACATCTTGCATGACCGTTTTATCTTTTCCTCGTTGGACCAAAATTTTGGTATAAAACAAATTGAAATCCAGCCTAAATATAAAATTATTACGATACAATAATATATAAAAAATATACACATTCTTATAATTAATTTAAACAAAAGAAAAGGAACTCACCGGCAAAGAACATTAAGCAGTTTTTCATTATTATTATCACAACCTAAATCACAAATTCTATCTAATAAACGCATTAACGCTTCTGTAAATTTGTTGTCCAATGAAAGAATAGTTTCTTCAAAGCTTGGTGTACAAGTTTTTGACGTTGAACCATCTTCCATCTAAGTGATAGATCATAGATATTATTTTAATATTATTCTTATTATTATATTAAATGTAGTATCATACTCTAAATTATAGAAAAAAAATATTAGGAAATTATAGAACATTTGTTTTGTTTATAAGTTACGTATGTTAAGAATTATGAAATAAAATAAGCATATTTCAAATAAAAATCTCTCGTTAACATTATTTAGGATAAAATAATTATAATATCACATAAAATAATAATGCAATCAAGCACAAAAATAATACAGAATAAATTATAAATTCAGATTTTAAGTTTCAATTATTGGTGTTGTTTTTTTAAACAAATCTGAATTTAATAAATAAATAAAATAATTAAAATATTATTTCCATAATACAATGCATGCTCGTTTTCACGCAAAGTTCATTTACAACTCAAATATTACATAGTAAATAGTATATTACAGCAAAGATATTTATCTTTTAAATTAATATTACAGAATATAAAAAACGAAATAAAATATAACTATTAAATAAATAAATATACTTATGTGAGTGTAGACCAGATTCTTGCAAGTCCACTGTAATTTTACTCTACATTTAAATAAAATAATCAAGTTTCAAATATTCACAAGCATCAGATAGGAAATTATATTTTCATTTTTAACACATTCAATATCACTTTTTGAGATTAACACAAAAGAATAATATATATTGCGTATAATCTTCTTTTCAAATGTATTTAAAAAATTACATGTAATTTATTAAATATGCAATACTAAATGTGTTAAAAAACAGAAATTGAATTTACATAAGATTTATAAATTATTATTATATATACAATTTATGGTCAGTTACCATGACCATCAATGTAATTGTAATATTTATACTTTCTAATAATTTTAACGTGTGAATAGTATGTAATGCAGTGGTGTTAAGCAATTACTGATTTTGTAAATACGAAGAAATTGTGAAAAGTTATATGATAATAAATATATACTTTACATTATTTACACAAAATATTACATTGTATAGAGTAAAGAATTTATAAAAAAAATATATAGGAAGTGTTTATTTAAATGAATTCACGTGAATAATAAAATTTATACACTTAATGGTTTTGTATTAAGTATAATTTATAAAGCCAAAGTAATGTTCTAAATATATTAATATAATGGTTTTTCAATATCAATTTCAAATTATACCTTTGATACTACAATAATTGAGACTTTATACGCTAATTGAATAAAGGCATAAACGTTAAAAATGTAAAAATAACTTAATAAGTTCATGTTTGATTTTAATTTAACAAAACAATGATAAAAATATAGTGCTACTATGAATATATTAAAAGGTTTAAAAGAATAAAGATAAATGAAAATTATATAAACAAATAAAAAAAATCTTTTTTTTAACTACCTACATTCATGAAACATAATATCATGCAGGTTTAAAAATTAATAAATGTGCTAAATTTATTTATCCTTTGTGGATGAGTGAAATGATGAACAAAAAATATACTAAAATAATATTATTATTTGCTGGAAACAAGCTTCATGATTCTACACTAAAATATGCATATTAATGAAGCAAACTTATAATTTTAACAATATACCTCAGATTCATAGACATCGTCTTGATTGGTACCAATCATGGAAGTCAATTCAGCGTCTATGTAGTAACGGCTCATACGCTTAACATTAGCAAAATATGAAAATTTAACTTATTACAATTATTATCTTGAATCAAACCTTTTGATATCATTAAATGATATTTGCAATAAACGTCGTCTTATTTAACTATGCTATGCCATGTAAAATTACTGTGGCTTTACAAACAATACCAAGTTATCAAAACTATTTTATTTCATTTAAAATAACAATATTGGCTATAATAATGATAATATTATTAAAGCATTTTAATAAGTGAGCTATAAATATCTTTTATTATATACTCTGTGTATTTTTGCATATTACACAAAGATAGCTGTTTCATAAGCGTGATCAATCAAATAATAAAACAACTTAGACTATGTGTGAGTTTGTATAACATCATTAAAAGCATATATATGTTATAAGTGAATAAAGCTGGAAAACTACATGCTATGAACTTACCTGCATGAAGTTGCAAAATTCAATGCAAGTTGCACAAATTCCAGTAATACAACCAAGAAGATCAGGATCTGTTAGCATACACTCTTTTAAATAACTATCTTGTAAATCTTGATGGACACTGAGAACTTCATCAACATTACATACCTAACAAAAAATCAGAAGATTTAAAAATATAATTAAAATATAATTAGATTTTAAGCGTTAAAACTTACTTTGCTCATTTTATTTATGAATGTTAACCAATTTGGTTCTATAACTTCGATCATCATATAATACTCCAAATGTTGAATACAATCTAACATTCTCTGTCTTAATGAAAATGACTGCCTATATGCCATAGCTACTTCATGTGTGAAGGTTTTTGCTATTTTATTGCTGATCCATACTCTACAATTTTTTGTAATTAGATTATTATTTAAAATAAAATTATAATCTTTTAAAATATATTTAATAAATCAAATTTTCTTACCTACATAGTATTCTTTCAATATATTTGCAATGTAACAAATGTCTAAATAACATTTGATAACAGGCAATTGCTTTCCTGTTTATAATTAATGAAACAGGCCATTTAACTTCATAATTGAATACAAATGCTTCTAACCCAGTTAATGTTTTTTCTGCTTGAAGACAATATTCTTTTTCTTCTCGTGTTTGTATAGAAAGTATTCTAAACATTTGAAACTGAAGATCATAAGGAAGAAGCTCTGGCTTTAAATCGTCTTTATACGGATCTAAATCAGCAGTAGACATACGCAAAGCAACTTCAAGAAGGGATGCTATACGATGAAGAACAATATCATACATATTTTTGTTCAATTCAGCCTCACATAAATTCATAAATTGGACCTTAAATTCAATCACATATGTATAAAATATAAAATTATATAAACAATATACAGAACATAAATTTGTTCTATTAATTAATAAAAAAAACTACCACAAAATCTCCTTGAGCTAAAAGGAAATAACTTTTCACGCTACGTAGTCTACCCATTAGATCATTTTCTTCCATTAAGACTTCTAATAAAGTTTTTGCTGCTTCTGAATATGCTCTATCTATCGCAGCAATATATTGTTGTCCTTTATGCTGATAAGTAAAAGGTTCTTGCTTACCCCACTTTATTGTTTTTCCTATAAAAATATATATAAAAAAATGTAATAAAAAGTCTATGCGAATATACGATTGTAAATCATTCAAACACATACCGCATTGTCTAATTACATTAAAATATTTTCCAGTTCTAAGAATTGTTTGAGCATGATCGCTTAAGAATATAGGAATTCTTTCTGGTCTCATGGAGTACCTCTTTTCCCAATAATCAGCTGAATAATCTATAGGAAGTTCTTCTCGTTGAATAAGCTCATTATCTTCTACAAGAAACTGTTATACATATTCATTATAAACAAGTAATAAATACTATAAAAATAATATAAAAAAAAAACACCATACTTCTTCATATGGATCACGAATTACACCTTTGTAAACCCATTTTTCCAATATTTGCATATAAGGAACACTAGCTGCATGGATTAAAAATAAACATAATTCTTTGGATTTCGCTTCACCACTGATATTATTTGCTTGTTCATGAAGAAGACTTAATACTTTTCCACCTCGAGTATTTGCCTAGAAAGAAGAAAAACTTATATTAATTAGGATAAAAATAATATTTATTAAACTAAAGTTTGCATATTTATATTAACCTTGCATATTGTGGATGTAATTTGTGATAGTATAGACATAGTGGACATAGTAGGTTGAATATAGAACCATAATTTCTGCAAATTGAGTTTGTTGCGAACGTGTTCCATTTCCAATTGTACAATAAATAACTGAAATTACAATATAACATTACAATTAAATATTTATTATTAATATGTTATATTTTATAATATTTCTATTACTTACCAAATAGTCTTTTAATAAACATCTTATAGCTCCCCTTAAGGCATGATTAACTTGTCCATCCTCCGATGAAACTTTTTCTTCAACGAATCTAATTGTCATCGAGTAATAAGATGCCAAGGGAAGTATTTGTTGAACCAATTGTTTGAATGATATTCCTAAATCAAAATAAAATTAATATTTTTTGAAAATAATTACAATAATTAATACATTAAGCCTTACCAACATCAGACGATATGCTGAATGTTCTGACACCATAAGGATTTGGTAAAGGTTCGGAAATAATGTAAGTTCCATCTATACCTTTCAAACAATATAAAACATCCCACAGGAGTATGGACTCTTGAGATACAATTGGTACGACTTCTATAAAATATTACTGATTCTTTGAAAAAATATATTTTTTAACTGATATAATAAAATTATAAGCAATATAAGTTTACTAACTTTGACATGGTCCTGTGTTTCCTTCGATATGAAAGTCCCAAGACATACGAGGCCTCTCTGTTATCCAATTATGTTTTAAGGCGGCATCACTTTTTTTAGCAACTGAAACAACTTGCTTATTCAATTTTCTTTCTCCTTCAACAGCAGCTTTTATTACATTTTTACAAATCTATAATATAGAGAGTATTATTTACATTAAAATTATGTATCCCAAGGAATAAAAAACTTTATACGGAATAGAAAAGATAAATGTATATACGTATACAACAAACCTGTGGTAAGTCTTCTTTCGTAATAGGAGAAATTTTGGGCGTAGTGATTGATGATGCAGTTCCATGTTTTGCCAAACAAGTTTTTAATTCTTTATCCTCAGATATGTATTCCAAAAGTTGCATAAATGGGCCTAATAAATCCGTCCTGTAAAATATTATTCTTTAAATATAGTTTTCTAAGTTATCGACTAATAAGAGATATTTTATTACAGATATAAGATTACTAACTTTTTAGATTTAAGTTCTTCATATTTTTGTAAGAACAATTCTGGAAATGGTGAAGCCTTAGTTAAACGACGAACACAACTCTGTGAGGCAATAACATTTAAGGCACCTGTGGTAGTAGTACTTTCTTTTTGTAATTTTTCTACAAACTTTTCTGGTGCAGCTGTGGACCTAATAAATATAATCAAGCATGAACATGTTTTACAATATCTTTCTATAATTTTATTATCGCTCTATAATGAACATAAATATAATCTTTACAAATTATATAAAAAGATAAAGTTTATTCTCACCCTAATAAACCGATTAATTCCACTATTAAGTGATGCACTTTAAACTCACTCATTGCTACACATTAATAATTTATTTAAAACTATTATCATATGTATCTTATAAAATTAGAAGAATTACTTTTACGTTTATATAAAGAATTTAAAATCAATCTTCACAAAAGACGTCATTTTAAATATCAGTTATTTGTTTGTATTCACTTAGAAATACATACATCTACAATGCATCATTGCGCATGAATAGAAATACTTTCTTGATTGAACAACGCCATCTACCAAATATAATAATAAATGCGATGAAAGTGTTTAAAATTTTCCCGCCATCTTGAGATACGTGAATTTTTTTATAAATACAATTATAATACAATTATATCAACATTATTAATTGCTATTCCATACATTTATATGATCATTGTAATATTAATTAAGTCGTTCTATGTTTTGTTCAATTTTTAGTTGTTAGATTTATCTATTGGTAACATAAACAAACTTAATTATTCAATGTCTGGTATTGCCCATTTAAATTCCAAAATTAAAGGATTTTTTAACTTGACTCCTTAATTTATATAGCCGTATATAAAGTTTTGAGCATAACTTGAGTGAGGAGAGCTGAAAAGTTTTAAGCTCAACACGAGGAGGGTATTAAATGACGCATATTGTGTGCTTAAGTATCAAAAAATTGATAATATATTTTTGCGATATAATAACGAAATGACAAAAGTCAATTGTACTGTATAAGATCGATATCAATTTTGAGAGAATCTTATTATTCTTTTTATACAAATTTTAATTAATTATTTATTTTATTTATACTTCTATAATATCCTTATTAGGATTTACAAAGATTTTATATATATATTTTCGATAGTTTCAAATAAAATATTCTATATTTATATATATCCCAATGTAATGTTAAAGTTAATAGACGCTCAGATTTCGTGATATTTGTTGTTAAAGTTTGTTATACTATTTAAAACGTGGTTACGCGTCAGAATTGAAAAGTTTTTCAAGCTTTGTTGTATGGATTATTTGCACGATACTATTGTTAAAAATGATAAATAACGAAAGCACATAAATGAAGTATCACATTAATAATCAAGAGTCTTTTTTTTACCGTCGACAGTTATTAAGCTGTTTAATTTAAGCAACCCTTGAAAATGATTTGTATTATAGATAACTTTTTTGATATTTCGATGTAGCTGTTATTTGCTCACACACAATTATAACATCCAAACGAAAGGATCTTCCCCATTCATACTCTAAGCGTGGAATGACGTAAATAGTCCTATTCCAGCTGAATCGATCGAATGAACGAGTCTGCGTGTTAGCAGAGGCGCCATACGACATCCTCGTACGCTTCTTCTTCTTCTTGACGAATTTACTTTATCGTAGCATTGCCGGTCGTGACGTTCATCAAATTCTTTCCTCAAGATAAGAATCATTTCTTCGAGGAAGATTGAGTAAGTAGAACCTTTTGTTTTTTTTTATATCAACACCTTTTTTATATCATTATCTCTTACTAATCTTCTGTCTTTCAATCTCCGAAATCATCACTTATTTATCTTATAATATTTGTATATTTTATCGACCGACTGATACCCATACATTTTTCTATAGTACCCTTCAAAAATACGTTCCTTCAAATTGTCAGTGCACATTTATACAAATTTTCACGAAGTTTCTCTAACGATAAAAATAATTAAAAAGGATATTTTAAAAAGAAAAGAAAAAAAATGAATGTTCCATTAATTTTAGGATTCCCATAGATTTCTAAAGTATCGAAAATGCCGTCGGTACGACGGATGATTTTGGGGCACGTCATGTCTGGACTATATACAAAACTTAATCGTACGAAAAAGTTGCAGGGTGATTTATTAGAAACACCGATGAAGAGATGTCTCTCTACTTTCGACATTACTTTGCTCGGTGAGTGTTATCTTCCATGTAAAGAATATTTTTTTGAACAATTAATTATATTATTTGCAAGAAATCATTTTCGCAATATGCACAAATTTGTTTTATGAAAAAGAACAAAGAATGCAATTATGCATCTGTTATTTATCGCAACATTGAAAAGCATAGATCAAACAATATATATAATAATATATATAATAATATATATAATAATATATAATAATAATATATAAAATAATATCGTGTCACATACTCGATGATAATGTATGTTCTATAAAAAAATTACATTCTCATTTTTTACATGTTATCAGGTGTCGGGCATATGATTGGTGCCGGAATCTATGTTTTGACAGGAACGGTAGCTCATGATTTAGCTGGACCAGGTGTAGTTCTTAGTTTTCTTCTAGCCGGTACAGCTTCGTTATTAGCTGCTTTGTGTTATGCCGAATTTGGTGCTAAAGTACCTAAAGCTGGAAGTGCTTACGTTTATACTTACGTTTCTATCGGTGAATTTTGGGCGTTCGTTATCGGTTGGAATATAATATTGGAGCATATGATCGGTACGTTCGGCTAATTTTGTTTCCACACCTATTTTCAGTTCTCATGATAAATGTTACAAATCAATCGAAATTAGGTGCCGCATCCGTGGCAAGAGCTTGGAGTGGTTACGTCGATTCCTTGGCAGGAGGAGCATTCAGCAATTACACTCGTCGTTTAATGGGTGGATATACAATGGGAGAACCACTTGGTACTATGCCGGATATTTTGGCAAGCGGTTTATGTCTTGCTTATGCGATGCTCTTAACATTGGGAGTTAAATGCTCGGCAGCCGTAAATTCTCTTTTAACTTTGGTCAATCTAGCCGTTATGATATTAACGATCGTCTTGGGAATTTATTACGCGGATATCACAAATTGGAGCAGTGAAAACGGTGGAATTTTTCCATATGGTTTCAGTGGTGTACTCGCTGGTGAGTCGTTGCTATTTTAAGAAAATCAAATGCGGTAATGAAGTCATAACTGAAAATAGTTTCTTACCGAATTATATCAAATCGAAAATTTTCTGTCTTTTATCATTTTATCATTTTTTTCTTTATATCGTTTAGGCGCGGCAACGTGTTTTTATGCTTTCGTCGGTTTCGACTCAATCGCAACTTCCGGAGAAGAGGCAATCAATCCTGCAAAAAGTATACCGTTAGCAACTATTTTTTCGATGGCCATTGTCACCGTTGGATATGTGATGGTCGGTGGTGTTCTTACTTTGATTGTACCTTACTGGAATATCAACCCTACTGCAGCACTTCCCGAAGCTTTCGCATCGAGAGGTATACCATGGGCTAAATATGTGATTAGGTGAGTCATAATCAAACATAAGCATGGAATGAATATCGAGTAGGCTAATAAATAACATTAAAATTAATAATATACTTTGTACCAAGATAAACAATATCAGAATCATGCAAAAAATGATATTCCTCGTAGCATTGGTGCACTTTGCGGAATGACAACGACTCTTTTCGGTTCGCTCTTTTCCTTACCAAGAACGATGTACGCCATGGCAAACGATGGTCTTCTTTTTGGTTTTCTCGGTCATATAAGCGATCGTACTCAAGTACCAGTTTTGAATCTGATGATTAGCGGACTTTTCAGTGCATTGATCGCACTTCTCTTCGATTTACAACACTTGGTCGAGTTCATGTCTATTGGTACTTTCCTTGCGTATACCATCGTGTCGGCTAGTGTCATAGTACTCAGATATCGTCCAGAAAAAACTACACCTGCTGCTTCTGCTGCTGGTACACCTAGCAGTCTAGCTTCACCACCTACAGAGGGTGCAGATTTTAATAGCGATTGCAACAGTATTGCATCGGCCGATGCCGAGGTATATAATAATACAAATTTCAATAAAAAATTTCTTCTTTTTCGTTTGATGTTAAAATATTAAATATTTTCCTAGCTTTTGGATTGCAACGAGGGCGTTGGAAAATTGAAACCACGATACAGTTGGTTAGCCAATTTCTTAGGCAATTGCGAGCCTGGAACAGCCGTGGCTATTGCCGTAACAATTTATACGGCAGCTAGTGCTACACTTTGCCCACTTTTAATACTTTTATTCCAATCATCTTTCAAATCGGCATGGAACAATTACTTTGCTTTGGTTAATGTGATCATTCTAATAATCGGTAGTAAGTTATAATCCTTTAAAATGACGCATTTTTCGCAGAAACATATTATGTCTAATTTAATATATTAATAATTTATTTACAGGTTTATTAGTGATTGGTGCACATCGACAAAATCCATCTAATGGTAGATTTCGTGTACCGATGGTACCTTTAATTCCAGGCTTAAGCATCCTTTTCAATGTTGGTTTGATGTTCCATTTGTCATTATTAACTTGGTTACGATTTTTCGTCTGGATGATAGTAGGCAAGTTGATTCAATTCTTTTCAATATTATTTATATTTTTCGTTAATGTATTTAGATTTTTTTCTATATATTATCATTTTTATATTTCTAGGAATGCTCATTTACTTCTTATATGGCATTCACTATAGTAAGGAAGCAGTTAGTCCAAATTCATATTCAGTTTTAATGGCTACATCGGAAGCAGTAAGAGGTGCTAAATGGGGTGCGATGTTACGCGTTAATCAAAAAGTTGACAAAGTACCTATTCTTGACGAAAACGAACATTAAGATTGTAGTATTACAGGTAAAAGGTTTCAAAAGTCATTAATAGTAAGTATAAATTTAGTAATTACGTGGATAAAAAAAAGAAAGAGAGAGAGAGAGAAAGTAAAAGAAAAAAAAATATTATGAATTACTTTAACGAATTTTCCAAGTCGTTTGTAAAGAAAAAGTTATTTGATCGTAGATGAAATAAATTATCATTAATCATACAAATGATTATTTTTTCATAGAAAGTTGAAAACTAACGATCAAAAAGAACTTACATTTTTAAATATAAAGAAAATTATATCGTGCCTTCGTGGCACGATAAATTAGAATAAAGATTTTCGATGCATATATATGAATATGACGAATTTAATTTTCTCTCGATAAAATTATGAGCTCTCGTAGAATCGATTAGTATTCGTATACGGTTGTAAATAACGGTGCTTTAAGCGATGTATCGAAAGAATCTGTGTTTTAAGATCTCCTCGTACCAATTCGTGTAGATCAGCTTTGATGAGACTTTCAAATCTGTAAGACTGGTAATTTTTGCTAATACTTATCCTGACGAGCTTGCAGCGAATCTTTCAAAATATATATATAAAATGTTATAAAACATTTAAACGTATTGTACAATAATTTTACAAAAGATGGGATTACGAGAAAACATGTATATATATATATATGTTACAGTGATTAGTCTTCTTTATATTTAGTCACGCACAAGTTTGTTGAATGATACAAAACGTGCTTGTATTTTATCAATGAGTTACTGTTGTAATTTTATTTTTAACAAATTATATTACTAATATTATTTGTATTTATATCTATATACGTATATATATAACTGTAAATCTATATACAGAGAATCCCAGACTAAGTGAAAAATATTTTTATTAGTTATTAATTTATTAATTGTAATTAATTATAAATTATTTTACGAACGAGAATGGGAGCACGTCAAAATAATAAAAAAAAAGTTTATTTAAACATATATTTTATTTAATTTTATTTTTAAGCTATAAAATAATTTATAAAACGCCGTATTAACAGCGTTGAAACTTTTCGCGAAAGAATTAAACAAAATTTCTAACAAATCCGAGTAGTATCTAGAAATATGGGAAAAGTAAAATAGTAATTGTGTAAGATGTCTGCAGGCTTGTATTCAGACGCAAGATGAATTCGAACATCTCTTATAAAAGTAAGTAGAAAGAATTAGTTCAAAATGAAATCTGTTGTAACTCGGAAACTAAATGAATTTATTTTCTTTTTTTTTATAAATGCATTCAAATCACCTCTAAAATATTTCCCGTTTATTCTGGGACACCCTGTGTATAAGTTATCGTGAAGTGTTTTATGAGGATCATTAGTAAGACTTTTGTTAAATTAAATTTGTTTCCTACAATACCGATTAAAAAGGAAAAATACTATTTCGATGATACGATAATGAATTCAAATGGCACTGTAAAAGAAAATGTCATATTATCGAATTGATTTTTATGTTAAATGCAAACATCCTTATAAGAATTTTTATTTTAATATTTTACATACGTAAACGTACAGATGTATCTAAGCCAAAACTTAAATGAAACATTTAAGACAATGACGCAACAGCGAAATGAATAATAAATTATTTTTGATCGTATATAAGTACTTTTACGTTTGCATCTAAGGGCTGAGAAATGGTGCCTTGGGAACGAGTAGACTATTTATAAAAGTAAGATTTACGTATTTTAAAAAATGACAATAGATTTCGTCCGTAATACGGCGATTATTAAGATTAAGATTACAATTGGATGTAATCGTGCAATTCGCTATTTTCGTGGGCGTTTGGGGAAGGGAGAGGGCTAAACAAAATGAACGAATACTCTCCGTCTTGTGGGATAATGAAAGTAATATTTTTTGTATATATGTCTTTTTGTAAAAAAGAGAAAAAATCTGTAGATATAACGTTACAGTACAAACTTCAATCAAAACTTAAGTTCGCTTTTTTCTTCCGATTACAGAAAAATAATGATAATAATAATAATAAAAAAAAAAAGAAAGTAAAGCACCTCCCCCTTCCTACGTCAATAAATAAAAAAAAATGATTATATTTGTTACTTTTTTGTTATACGTAAAGTTTGTTCCTTGAGATAATCAATAACAAATTGTATTCCGTTGCAAGTTTATTGTTTTTGTTCACTGATATTATTTATTTAATTATGATTGAGCCTACTGTGAAATTTATTTAATAATAAGTTCATTGATCGTATTATATAAATATATTATATTGTCTACATGGTTTCTTGCTTTGTAGATGTAAAACAGATCATCTGTTAATAACGAATATATTGAATCAACGTTGTACGTGGAAATGGTTATAATTAAATATGTACTTACTACCATCAAAGTGCCATAGCGTTATACTTGTACTTTTCGCTTAGATGGTAGTGTAGCAAAAAGAAACAAACTTATCGAAATAGTTAATCGATATTAAAAGTTTAAGAGTTAATGAGATGAAGTATGAGTATGTATTTATAACGACATGTTATTATAGATTATTGTAGAAAGTTTACAAAAATAATGTAATCTGATTACTGTACAAATCGATATATGCAATATGATGTTACATGTAAGATAACTCAAACACGATAACCCCCCATTTGCTGCTCTATGATATTAAAAGTCGTCGTACAATATTTCTATTACGTTTAAACACTAAAAATATTTCAAACAAATTTTTGCTATTTCTATTTTTTGTTTACTTTTTTTCTTGTCAAATTTACTTAATGTTATGCACTATTTAAGCTATATTACGTAAGAAAAAGTGATTTAATTGTTCCGATCAAAATCAAATAATTGTTACATTATTCACGATGATAATTTCCTATCATTATTGAAAATTCTCTAAATTTTAAACAAATATGCTAATCTATTTGGATATCTTTGTTAACTGCATGTGTGTATAACTACAAATATGTATTGACATCACTGTCACTAAAAAGATCTATTATAAATATAAATGTAGCATAATATACTAGTTATTTATAAATTATATTATTTGCGTATATTGATGACAAATTTTAATATTTATTTAAAATAAGTAGAGAAATTATACTCGTGAAATTAAACAGGTTATTATTTGCATTTAATATTATTGCCATTCATTTACAATTTAAATATACTATTAAAAATGTTTAAAATTGCTGTTTCTACTAATCAAACATTCATGTTATAAAAAAGAAACAAGTAAAAATTCAAACGTTTAGAATATTGATTGCATTCAAACGAGTTATGTTGAACAACAAAATAACGATAAAAGTCATATCACCCGAATAATATTCAACTTTGCTTTTCTAAACATAAGAGAAATATGATATTATAAAACGTCTAAGAAAATGATTAATTACCATTATCGTAGTTAACGATTCGTTTAAATACGAAGGATCATATTTGATCGAGATTATTTATTCGTGTACTCGGTCGATCAAATAGTTTCCACGAAAGACAAAAATTATTTTCTATATTTATTTCAATCTTTTTAAATTTGTAAAAATGTTTCTGCGATTGATTTCCTTCATGATGATCCTTAGTGTCATCTTCGCTCGAAATATCCAGCATGATGACGATCATGTACCCTCATTCGAAGTTCCGGATTGTTCGATGGAAAATCCATTGCATTACGTAATTACGTCTATACATATGTATATATATTAAATATAAATGTTTAATTTAAAATCTAAATGTTTTTCTAAATTATCAATATTTTAATTATAAATTATTTATTCCATAATGTTGTATACATTTATTTTTAATTTTAGCATCGACGTGAGGCTATGTCACATGAAATTGACAAATCATCATTAATGCCAATATCTGCTATCAAAAATGACGATCATCATCCTGCGAAAATGTTACTGAAGAAAAGAGCTATGATCGATCAAGATTTACATACTGCACCAAAACCTGGATGCTGTGGTTAAAAGTTGAATATATTCAAATAAACTAATTGGTAGATTGTTTACAAAATATGGCACAAATAATACTTTTATAGCACTCGTGTCTTATTATACTTGAATTTTATTTGATGTTTTTTGAAATGATATAATTAATAATAATAATAATAAATAGGATATTATAAAACAATAATAATGATTGAAGTATGTTCGTTTTCCTAATTTTATTTTGTCCCATATTCTTATGATTGTGTAAATTATAATATGGTTTAAAACAATCGCTTTAATTTTTAATAAATTACAAAGAAATATTTTTCCTTCTTGATAGATAATGTTGATTAATTTCATTAAAATATATAGCAATTTACTGGAAGAACATCAATGTTTCGTAAACTTATATATATATTATACTTTAAAAAATAAATATATATATATTTTTTTTTATAAGTTAAAATTTATAAATAAACTTACAACTAGAACTTCCATAATTTTTTACAGAGGAAATTTTTATTATTTTGATATGCATCTTATATTTATAATATTTATTTTAAATTACAAAACGCGCGCGCGCGCGAATAAAATGAAGTTATCGAATTTGCTAAAAATGTGTACATTATTTTAGAAAACTTATGCAAATATAGATCATAGATTTTTAATTACTAATACAAGATAATTACATTAAAACAAACAAACAAACAAGTTACATAGGTTAATAAATGCTGTTCCGGAATTTTCATTGTTTTTCATACTATTTTAAAATAAAAATTATAAAAGTTTGTATTTTTATAATATATAAGACGAATTTTAATAAAATGGCAATGTAAATGACTTCTGTACAAAAAAGTTAAGTATGAAATTTTTTAATGATCATTACATTAATTTCCAGTACATAATTGCCATAACAAAAAAAATTAAAGTCTTTTATATTATTATAAATCTTACGGAACATTGATCTATTAAAGGAATGTTGACAATTCAACACAGACCACTTATTGTGCTTTAAATTATGAGGGCAATGTTTTATGTGTTTTCTATAATACTAAATCCCTCATTCATATTGTGCTTTATGGTTCATTTTTCATTGATGTAAAAATATATAATAAATTTATATAAGTATACATAATAATGTATTTAACTGTTGAACAAATAAATGAAAAGTTTTTTACATTCAGTTACCAGTTAATAAAGTTGGAACACTTCATGAATGTGCAAAATGTAACGAATGCACATATACCACGTGTGGTAGATATATACGCATTAAGTTATTTTCTAATAATTACAGGTACGGGATTAATGAATTATAGTACTGATACATTATGTTATCTATTTTGCCGAGTTAGACTAATTTTCCAAGCTGATATTGGTCTACCTTGTAAAAAGTCTATTTTTCGTTTACCCCACCTGAGCCAAGAGAATCCTATTATTAAGCAAAGTAAACTTTCTATGTAATAACCGTCAAGCTGCATAATGCAAGTACCACCATTAGTATTTGTACATAACTGTAAAAGATTCAACTTTTTATTTATACATATCTGATAATAGTAACGTTATAAAACATTTAGAAAAATAGAAATATAAAACATACCTCTTTTTCCGCAAGTGTGCTACAATCATTGGAAGCATCTGTACTACATTGTCTAAGTGTTAAAGGATCAACAAACCAAAGAGCTGCTGTTGCAGGCCAGTTTGCACCAAGATTACATAATGTATTTAATAATGTCATGTAAGTACCTCCTACAGCAGGATCACTAACTTTTGCAAAAAATGCCATAGATGCTACGAACATGCAACTTGCAGATACCTAAAATGTAAGAAACAATATTACTAAATTTCATAATTAAGATTTAATATGTTTTAAGAAATAATTATTACCTGATGTATAAGATAAAGAACAATTAATATAATAAAATAATACATTGGTACTTGTCCATTACTTATAATATATGGTGTAACCCACACTAAACATGCTGCAATTAGTCCGAAAGCAAGCCTGCAAGAGAAAGAATACTTGTAATAAATAATATATTTTTTGAGTGATTAATATTTTACTATTAATTTAATTATAACCTATAGGGCATCGCTTTTATATATATGTCCATAGGTCTTGGACCAACAGTATATTTAGAAATAGCTAATGGTAAAAATATTTGTAGCGGAGTCATAGGTACTGCCATTAATGCAAACTTTTCTTTAGGTATACCAGCTTCTACTAATTTTAAACCTGTTACAGCGTCGCAGGCAGAAAAACCAATCTGAAAAAGATAATGTATATATGTAACAAACCCTATTTTTATTTATTACTTATATTTAATATTTAACAATTCAAACCTTTGCTGTCAACAAGAATATAATTGTTGTTTTTATTGAGGGTAGTTTAACAATATCCCAAAGTAATTTATATGCATGTCTAATATTTGTATTTAACTCTTCATCTTTATCTACTTTTTCTTTATTTTCACCTTTCAAGAGAGCAATGAATGTTGTAGTAATGATAAATGTCCAGCCCCAAAAGTATAAAAATCCTAAACAGCAGTATGTTTATATAGAATAATGAAATATGTTTAATCTTTATAAAAATGCATTGCGGCTTACCAGGTAAAGTTAACATTCCTTCATTTGATGGAACTGATCTTAAATAACCATTACAAAATTCAGCAGATTCCAATGCCATAAAAAGAACATAGCCTATGAAGTAACCTGCAGTTTGACCAACACTATTACACGTTGACGCATATGCTACATTACATCTAAAAAGTAAATAGTTTAAAAAATAAAAATGACAATAAAACAGAGAGAGGGGAGAGAAAGAGATTAACAAATTATATATAACCTCTTAAGCATTGTAAGAGCCCAACCATCTACTACAATATCCTGTGTAGCAGCAAGTACGTTCAAAGCAAAAAATAATGCAGTCAGCATTTCAATATTTGGTTTTTCGTGTTCTTTACCCAACCAATGATCAACATGTCCGGATAGTACTAGCATAAACATACCCATCATATATTGGGTAGGAATTAGCCATGTTTTCCTGCGTCCAAACTTTTTATAAAATACAGAATCTACTATCGGTGCCCAAAATAATTTTAGCGAAAATGGCCAATGAACAAAACTGTATTCCGCCTAAAACAATAAAAAACAATTTGAATTTAGAAAAAGTAAATTAAAAAAGATTATATTATTAAGTAACATATGTTGACAATTTTAAACTTACCTGTTGCCTATAAGATACACCTCGGTTTTGCAATAACATAGGAATGGAGCCACATAAACCAAGAGGTATACCTTGTAGTAGATATAGAAAAAAAAGTATTGCTATATTTTTTTCATCACCACGTATATCAGCTTTGTCATGAATATGATTGTGTTCCGTGACACCTTCTTCAATGACATCATTCTTTTCAATTTTCCTTCTATAATTTGTTCTCATTGTAGCAATTTAATGTATAAAAATTTCACATAGAAAAAAGGGACAAATTTTGAACGTGTTATTTTTAACGTCGAAAACACGATTGTATTCTTTTGACTTACGTGCAATCTAAAAATTAGACAACAGCTTTTAGAATTAATTTACTACCAATTGATAGGTTATACCGAATTTCACGTTTTGCATCGGTGCATACTTTTATTCTTTATATGCGTATAAAAGTAATAACTTCACACCACATTATGCTTATAATAGGAATTAATTTATTTTGTTATAATAAAATAAATAAATAAAGTATGATATACCTAATGCAATCATTTCATATGCACGCCGCATATATAACCTTAAATAATAAGCTATTCAAGGCACTGATCGATCAACAATTTGTCTTTACGGATGGAATTTAACTATAATTATTTTATATTTTATTAATATGAATAAAAATTAAATATTCTATTACGATATATTCATGTATTCGATGTCACGAACGAAACTTTCGTTACTGGTGACACGGTTACCGATTGTCATGTTACTTACATAGAAGGACACGTCAGTTATATTTTGTTTTTTTTTCTTTTATCACGTGCGTATATGTTCTGATAAGGTTTATTCGCATCAAACATGACAAGCAACTCATAAGACTTTTAACCAATAAAATCTTCACATTGGCGATTACAATCGTTCTATCAACCAATGAAAATCTTTTACAATTTAATTACTCCATGCAATTTTATAGCTTATTCTTAGATTGTGATTTATCCAGTTAATATGTACATAGTATACGTAAGTTAATAATACATAAGTTACGTTATATTAACAATAGGTGTGTACCCAGTAAAAATCGAATTGACATTCGATATTGTACGATCTACTTAATAAATTTTATTTTATTAATGAGGTAAATAAAAACGATGATTAACAAGAAGATAAGAAAAAGAAAAGAAAAGGAATCATATGATTACAGGTGCGTATTATATTTACTACAAAAATAAATCGAACAGGAAACAAATTTTATTTAAGAAAATTTTATTCATATTAAAAATTTACGAAATATGATTCATTTAAGACAAAACTTTTTTGTATTACCTAAATTAATTATTATGTCTGAAATCACAAGCGAATACTCCACAGTCTCCACTATTTGAACTTACGGCGAGAGCCATTTTAATTAATTCCTTAACAGTATTATCTACAGTTTCAGCACTTAAAACATTATTGTGAATTCTGAAAAAATAACGAATACATAGAAATAATACAAATTATACAATTACATTTAAATTTGTTTTATAGTTCCTTACAATTTGTTTAATTGTATTTTTGTAATTTTTTCATCGTGTTGATTTTTACTGACATCAGCATAATCAGTCATATAATCTTTACGTATTTCACAAGTTAATCTCGCTACGCATTTCGGAGAAACATATTTTCTATTAGCAAATTTTTCGTTATCGTATGTCTAAAAAGAAAAATATATATATAAAATTTAAAAATTTTGTTCGATGTATTAATCGTAATTAAAAAAAAGAAAGAAATTAGAATACTTGAGAGAAATTCTTCGTTATCATTTGTAAAACATAGTCCATAATGTCGTTGTCCTCGGAAGTAATTTCAGAACGTTTTTTCCTACCGGAAATAATTCCAATCGGTAGAAGAACCGGATTTGTAGCTAAAGCTGCAGCTGCGCCGATTAGAGCAACTCCGGCTAAAGCTTTTAAAGCAACGGCCTTCAAAATGAACGCATGTAACACGTTATATTACGAGGAATTATCTTTCTTATCATTATTAATATCAAATTATACCAAATAATTACCTTTTGTGTTTGAATATTAGTTCCTGGATGTTGGGGGACATTGTTGTCAGGAATATCGGCTTCGTCCGGATTAAAATCATTTTCGTTTTCGAAAGTAGCTGTAATTCCATGTCCGGGTCGTGTGCCACCATAACTACCATATCCACCATAACCATATCCACCAGTACTTGCTGAACCATAACTTGGTCCTCCTGGTCTGTTAGAACTTTCACTTCCGTAATTAGGCCTTGGTCCATATCTGATTAATTTTCGTATATAATATATTAGAATTATCGGAAATATACAACATAACAATATGATAATCAATAGTCGTTAAGCTGCGCGATTGGTTTAGTCGTTATTCATAATAATCCGAGATTTATTTAACCCATAATTTATATAATAAATATTGACCTATCTCCTGTATAAGTATCACCATAAACTCCACTTCCACTATGACTACCACCGTAATTTCCAACGTTCGGTCTTTCACCACCTATGTTTGAACTTGTGGGTCGACTCGGAATTTGCCAACTATGTCTGAAATGTGACAAATTTTGTTAAATCATAGAGTACTAATGACGAACAAATCATTATGTTCAAATTACCTGTCGACATTACGGTCTCCGTACGAAGGAGAATAATGACTATTTTCCGATGGAATCCTGTTGTAATCTGGTCGGGACGATGAACTCGAACCATGTCTAGTACCGCAACAATTGGAACTTAGAGATTCAAAATATATCATATTACTTTTTACATATTACTTATAACATGCAAATTAAAATTATATTATATATTTTACAAATATCAGAGATAGTACGCGAAACAAAAGTAATGAAATTATCTTTCGAATGAAAATAAAATGATTGTAGTATGTTTCATAGATTTTGAGATATTCAATTTCAATTAAATTAAGTTTTGAATGGCAATAAATAAATGATCAACATATTACATGTCAATAAATTCGCCATGGAACAGGTTATACGCCTACCTAACCAATTAAGTAAAAACTTTAAATGATACACTCGGTATATACATTTACATAAATCTAAACGTAAGAATATATATAGGTATATATGGATATGATCATCATTAAACTTATCTCTCGATTCCAAAGACGGTGATCCTCGAATAACATTTCTTACTTTTTTATCAGCGTTTCTATCATCGGAAATATTTTCTTCATTATTCTTTGCCTGAAATGCTTTTGATGAATTTCTAGTTCGTACGATATTAGCATGAAGTCTGTCTTCTATAAACTGCTTTTTTGATAGTTCGTCCTTTAAAGAATATTCGCTTTCCGCCGATAATCCTTGATAAACGACGACAAAGATAAAGAAAATCGGAAAATATCTTAGAGCCATTATATCGGAAACCGGTTTTTGATCAATCGAAACAAATAGTAATAATGGAGATTTTATTCACTTCATTCACTTTTTAATGTCATCTTCAAAATTTTTTCAAAGGCATATTTCATTCGATAGGTCTTTGCACTAACAAGTGTAACGTCGTCACAGAACTGGCTCTCTAATTTGCGGAGTTTCACCCTTTTATAAAGTGGTCACGCATGGTAAATTGTCACATATTCTTACGGGGAAGAGTCTATGTGAAATTACAACTTTCTGTTTTGCTTTTTATTTTATTTCTTTTTTTTTCTTTTTGTTGCACAGAAAAATATTCCATATATTGTTGTAGAGTTTTATGAAATATATGCATAAATTTGATAAATCGATAAAAAAAAAGACAATATAACTTCTACGAACTTCTTCGTTAGCATAAAAAATTATTTTACCACGATAGATATCGTGGTCCAGGTATATATAACTTTCACTTCAGATTAATATCAAATAAATATTTTTCTTTCCCGGAAGTTCGAGATGCGTATCGTATACACTTTTTCTTTTTATTTTCCCAACTTTCCCATTAGAAGTGCGACGATGAACTTAACCGTATCGTGTTTATTTATTTCGAGCAGGCAAAGTCAAGAATCGTATCAAACCTCTTATTGTTAGCTCGACTACTAAAGTTTCATTAAATTATTTTAGAATTTTTTTTTCTTTTTCGTTGTTCTTCTACGAACTTTCTCCAGGATAATCATTTTAAAAATGTCGCGAGATTCTCGTTAAATTTTTAAACGATTATTTTCAAATTTGTTGATTTTCAATAAGATTCATAAATCAATATCTACTTTGATCAATCAAAATATCATTGATAATATAAATAACAAATGCTTAATTTGTCTTTCGAATAAATTCGGTAAATTCTAGATTTTCCACAATTTCGTTTCGTTTCCCTAATAGACGCAGCCATTACGAAACACGGACAGAGAACAATTTGTTCCGCTTGGGTATTCGAAGTGTGCGGCTGACGCTCGAAATTGCAAACGAACAATGTCGATGATGCTATAGCTCGTTGTTACACCATATCTCAATATACTACGAAATGTTCTCTCATTGTTTGTTTAGTCAGAACTGTGGGGTCAAAATAAAATAAGATGTTCAGATTTGAACGTTGTAAAAGTACGCTTGACGATGTCAGGATAATTGCTTATTAAGTAATTCGGAGGTATATTTATTTTCCCTTTTGTAATTTTATGACCTTCGACTAAGTATAGTTACCTAATTGTAAGAATATCGGATAGGCACGAAAGTGAATATAAAATGAGTACATTAAAATATAAATGAAAGAGATAGCTACGAATAATAAATGAGCATAATTTTACAATGTTACAATCATTTAATCGCATTAAAAAAAAAAAGTAATCAAATTATTTTCACTTTCGAGAAGTTTATTTTCTTGCAATTTCCGGACGATAAATCTATGCTGTATCGGAAAGATAAATCAATATAGTCTTCGAAACTGGTTCAACGAGTATTAAAAAAAAAAACTTGTCCTACGATCTTCTCGATGGTTTTGTGCAAAACGGTGGAAATGCATAAAGCATTCTTCTACGTAGAATTTCATTCGGATACGGCAATAGGACGATTTCCGCAGGGGTCGAAACGAGATATATTACAGCCGGCGCTAGTAAATATGAACTTTTAGTGAGCTTTGAAAGAAAGAAAAGTAAGAGGAATAGGAGGAGGAGGAAGAGGAGGTGGTAGTAGAAAGGAAAAAGTGAGTTGGTCCTACGGAAACGCAAATTTATTCTCCCTCGACTGGAAATTCGAAGACTCGGACGAATAAGATCTTTGAAAGAGGCCTCTAAAAACAAAAACAAAAAAAAGAATAAAAGAGAGAGAGAGAGAGAGAGAGAGAGAAAGAGAGAGAGAGAGAGAGAAAGAGAGAGAGAAACGGACCAAAAGAAAGAGAGAAAGGGCACGAGAACATTAGGGGGCTAATTTGAAGAAAGAGAAGAAAAAAAGGGAGGGTAGGCTATCAATGGAATGGGAAGATTCGAAGGAAGAGAGACAAAGACGGATAAGGGTGGTTTGGGGGTGCAAGCGTAGGGGTGAGAAGGTGGTAGCAACGAGAGAGGAGATAGAAGAACCGAGAGATCGCGGAATGGAGCGAAAGCAAAGTAATCAATACGCATTCACACGCGGTACCTCGTATCCCGTTTCTATGGGGACTGACGCCGACGCATGCGTTCATCTACGATGTCATCCACGATGTCATCCACGATGTCATCCTGTTGGCATAGGACGTTCATAAACGGTGCCGAAGCAGTACCGTGCGGACCATTCCTTTTCGAGCTCCGTTTGAAACAAATATAATACGTGTATTTTCATTTGATTGTTCATTGTAGATTCATTCATTCGCCATTATATTAAATTATCGGTATAATTATATAACCAATTGTTTATTTTTAACGAAGAAATTATAAAAGTTTTTTTTTGAATATAAATATATTATTAATTGTATATTATATGCTTTTTTTATTAGTATTATTTATTTATTTTCTTTTAATTTAACACCCTTTTTATCATCAATGTTCGCGTTAATTATATGAGATAATACGAATCATTTTTGTTCTTTTTTTTTCAATATTCGTATACTTCCGGTTAAGAAACTTTTTCTCTTATCTTCTTTCCTTCCTTTAACGAGTTTTCAACATACCTTTATTATAAATCGAAATTTACATACGTAATTGATATTTATGCAAATTATATTTTCATACGCTGACACATGTTGCTCGAGTACATCGACTTCTGTCGGAATAAGGAACATTGTAAGCCGATCCTTAGTTGATAACCAAATCTGATTACCAAATCTTGTCTGAAACTTTAAGTAAAGATACTAAGATGTAAGATATCTCGTTTACGTTAAATTCTTTTATTAAACAGTTTATTATAAAAACTTTCAGCTATCGTTAACGTTTGTTTGTTTTTTTTTTAATAGTATTTTATCAGTAATGTAATATACATTTCCTAGCACTTTACTAAAGCAGAAGTAACGAACGATAACCGCAGAATAATTATGATCCGACCGTAACTAAAAAATCCCGATAAGGCATATCGTACTAATTGACTGTCAATAAGTTGACATTGCAATGCTATACTGTAGGTTTCGTTTAAATTATAAATTTCAAAGAAAATTAAATAATTCAATAAATCTTTTCAAAATTTCTTTATCTTGCTGTTATTATTGTTGTTGTTGTCGATAAGATGTAGAGAGAGAGAGAGAGAGAGAGAGAGAGAGAGAGAGAGAGAGAGAGAGAGAGAGAGAGAGAGAGAGAGAGAGAGAGAGAGAGAGAGAGAGAGAGAGAGAAAGAGAGAGAGAGAATACGTTTCATTTGGATGATCGCGAACCAATTCAAACAAGGTTCACTCGAGCAACGTATTTAACGATTCCCTCGACGATGGTCATCCTTGTCTCTCTGTATTCAACGAGAGGGTACAGTATGCGACGTTCGTCTCTCGGATGTTCACTCCCCCTGGTGGTACGGGAGTTTAGGGGGTGCAGGGGGTGTAGGGGGTGCAGGGGTGCACGGGTGTTGGGAGAAGTAGGAGAACGCGAGGAGAAACGGAAAAGCAGGAGGAGGAGAAAGAGACGTTTAGGGTCGCGGGGTGTTAGGGGGTTGGTTTTCCTTCGAAGCGCCTGCGTCAAGCCCCCGATGACGACTCGGCTAGGTAGGTGCTCGACCCGGACGCAGTACGGAGAAACTCTGCGATCACGTAGTGTGCGTTCTCATTTGACACGAAAACTTTTCAGAGATATTTTCCCTTTCGATCGTGACTTAACGATCTCTGTTTTCCTTCATTTTCTTTTCGATCATCGATAATAATAATTGGTTCGAGTATCAGAATCTAACTCGAGCTAGGGAACTTTACATTACGCATGATCAATGCACCATCGAAAGATTTCCCAAGAGAGAAAGAGAAAGAGGGAGGGAGAAAGAGATCGGTTGAACCTTTGAAAGTGGCTCGAACGGGTGCATTGCAGCTAATCAACTACTACTTACTGATCTTCTAGATTTATTGGGATACATTGTTATCTTCTTTATTCGTGAATGGAACACGTTCGAGTGTGACGCCACTGAAAAGTCTAACAACCGGTGTGCTGTGTTGATTTTATTCGGACCCGTTCGGACATTTGTTTACATTGTTAAAAAATGACTATATTTGAACTCTCGAAGGAAACAGAAGCTCGGACTTATTAGATTATCTTGATATAACGACGGAATAATTTTTTTTTGTTTAATTTCATTTTTATGTGCTCGTATCGATGTGGAACTATTACAAAGGGAAACTTTTATTTTTGGAAAATTTGGAAAAATTTTTATGAATGAATGCATTTAGATCGCGATGATACGCGTAAATATTTTCGTGGTGTACGTTTTTGAAATCTCCGAGGCATAGTTACTCGTGTATTCTTTTCGGCATCGTTGCTTGCATGTGGGTCACAAGTTGCACACGACAAAGCTAACGGGATAGAGGGTTCACCGAGCTGAGGTAAGCCTGTTAAGTCGTACGTTCATTTCGACCAACACTCTTGTTAACCGTTATACCATCGAACCAGTTTAGCTGGGTTACGAAGATTTTCAGCACTGTCGATTCTTCGAAATATTACCTTGGACCGAAGGAGACGCACTATACGACAATCATTAAATCGTTCTTATTGATTTTATGTTTACGATTTTCCCGCCTTTGTTCTTCTTCGATTGATTTATTATATAAGTAGGATATCTAAGGGTGTTATATGGTCTAAAGGTGAGTTTTTCACAAATTACAATTTATGGATACTAAAAAGAGTTTTTGTATAATAAAACCATTTTGTTTTCTGATAGCCAGATAATCGGACAAAAATGTTTTTCAACGATATTTTGGATTTCATTCAAAACTCTGACGTAAACCTTACGTGGACCATAACACCCTCAGACACCTTATACATATACATATATATATATATATTCTTTTTTGTT